ACTGTGATGCTCTGTTGTTTCTGAGGCATTGTGATGTTTTTCTGTTTATATTTAATTGGTGATTGTGTGTTGGAGTGACTTGCCTACAATTTTCGTTTTCTTTGTATGTTATCTACGTAAGCAGGGTATGTGGTGTGCTCCTCTATTCACTAGTTGGCAACACTTATACACTCACCACCAGTCTCCTTTCCCATTGTCAGCCTCCTGTATGTCCCTGCTATCCTTGGCAAACAGAGCCTATTCTTAGATCCCTGGAATCTGAATGAGAATGCTGTCACTTTAAAATCCAAAATGGCCACCACTTGTATAGATTCAAAATGGCTGCACCCTCAGTCACTTTAAATATCTAAAATGGGCACCACTTGTAAATACTCAAAATGGCTGCACTGTGGTCACTTTAAATATCCCAAATGGCCACCGTTTGTAAACAGTCAAAGTGGCTATACCCTCAGTCACTTTAAATGGCTGCTGCCTGTAAACATTCAAAGTGGCTGTGCCGTAGGTCACTTTAAATATCTAAAACGGCCACCACTTTTAAACATTCAAGATGCCTGTGCCCTTGGTCCAAAATTTCTGCCACTTGTCATCACTCAAAATGTCTGCACCCTTGATCCAAAATGGGCACTGCTTGTAAGCATTCAAAATGGCTGTACCCTCTGGTCAGCAGAAAGTCCACAGCTCAGGTTTTTTCCCTCCTTGCTGCTTCTCTTCCTGCAGCCGTTGGCAACCAAAGCTGATTTTTAGGTTAATTCTCAGATCCCAACACCACTTGGAAATATTCAGGTTGTTGGTCCCATCAGAGTAGCTGACAGTCCACTGCTCCAACCATCTCCATACTCACTGTTTTCATTCAGATTTTTCCACTAGTTCACGCCTAATTCACTTCTGTATAGTTCCATTCAAAGCTCAGAGCTCCAGGATTATTTTCTGTATCTCTGTCAATTGGTTTCTCTTTTCTTTGCTGAAGAGGGTCTGTGTAGCTTGTCTGCCTATTCCTCCATCTTACCAGAAGTCCTTAATGTAATTTCCAATACCACATTCTTTTTTCATATAATCCATCTTCTCAGATTATTTGATCAGTATACAGGTTGAATAAGTATGGTGAAAGGATACAAACTTTTCCTGATTTTAAACCACACAGTATCCCCTTGTTCTGTTCAAACAACTGCCTCTTGGTCTATGTACAGTTTGTGCATGACCATAATTAAGTGTTCTGGAATCCCATTCTTCTCAATTATTCCTAATTTGTTATAATCCACACAGTTAAATGTCTTTGCACAGTCAACAAAACACAGGCAAACATCTTTCTGGTGTTTTCTGCTTTCAGCCAAGATCCATCTGACATCCATCTGGCATCTCTCATTCCACATCTTCTTTTGCACCTGGCTTGAATTTCTGGCAGTTCCCTGTCAATATACTGCTACAAGCATTTTTGAATTCTCATCAGCAAAATTTTACTTGTATGTAAAATTTTAACTTATCATATTAATGATAGTGTTTCTGCATTCTATTGTATCGCCTTTCTTGGAAATGGGCACAAAAATGGATCTCTTCCAGTTGTTTGGCCAGGTAGTTGCCTTACACATTTCTTGACACAGATGAGTAACCACTTTCAGCATTGCATCCATTTGTTGGAACATCTCAATGGGTATTCCATCAATTCCTGGAGCCTTGCTTTTCAACAATGCCTCCAGGACTTCTTCCTTCAGTACCATGGTTTCTTGATTATATGCTTCCTCCTGAAATGGTTAAACATTGACCAATTCTTAATGGTACAGTGACTCTGTTTATTCCTTCCATCTTCTTACAATCCTTGTGTCATTCAATAATTTGCCCATACAGACTTATCTCTAGAATTTATAGAAAACTCCAACACCTCAATAACAAAAAGACAAGTAATCTAACTAAAAAATGGGCAGAAGACATGAATAGACACTTCACCAAGGAGGATATGCAGGTGGCCAACAAACATATGAAAAAATGCTCACGATCATTAGCCATTGTTGTTGTTGTTGTTGTTATGTGCCGTTGAGTCGGCCCCAACTCATAGCGACCCCTCCTTGGGTTTCCGAGGCAGTATCACTACAGAAGTAGGTTTGCCCAACCTTCCTTCTGAGGAGTGGCTGGTGGGTTTGAACCGCCAGCCATCTGGTTAGCAGTCAAGTGCTTTAGCCACTATGCTACCAGAGCTCCTATTAGAGAGATGTAAATCAAAACAACAATGAGATACCATCTTGCCCCAGATCTAGTAGCAAAGTTCAACAAGACAGAAAATAAATACTGACGAGGATATGGAGAGATTGGGACTCCTATACACTGCTGGTGGGACTGTCAAATGATACAACCACTGTGAAAAGAAGTATGGGAATTCCTTAAAAAGTTGGAATTAGAAAAACCATTTGACCCAGCCATTCCATTACTAGGTATATATCCTAAACAAGTGAGAGCCATGACAAGAACAGATATATGCACACCCATGTTCATTTCA